GCATCCGTCTGAAGATATGGGACTTGAACCACTGTCTTGGGAGTCTGTGTCAGGGTTGTATCCTCTGTAGCCTGCTGCCCCACCTGGGTTTCAGCAGCACGGCAAAAACCGTTCTGGGAGGTTGCTTTTTTTTAGTGCAACAAATCTTTTTTTGGTGGCAAATTTGGCCTCGTGGCTTATTAGCTAACACCACTGGTTTGCCTTTTGTTTAAAAGAATTGTAAGCAGGCAGAAATGAGTGCCTCTTAGAAGGAGATCAGGTGAAAAGGGGATGAAAGCTGAGGCTGGAAACAACTTAAAACACAAGCTTGTGTATTAACATGCTCTGCTAAAGCACGGCACAGATCCACAACCATGAAGATGCCTGAAAAGGAGAAAGATCTGTTCACAACTTGCGGGAGGGAGTTGGAGAGGAATTGGGGTCACTATTCATTTGTATTGCAGTTGTGCTGAGAGGTGCTAGTGAAGGCTAGAGCCTACTAGATCCTATAAGAAATCCCATCCTGATGGCAGGCTGGTGGGGCAAAATGACTTGCCCAAGGCTGTGTAGTAAGTCGGTAGCAGAGAGAAATGAAAACTGCATGTCTTGCCTCCTGTTCCCCTCGCTGCCATACTCAGCTGCCTCTCGGTACCCTTTAACTTGCAGGTCCAAGGTATAACCCAGGATCTGTCTCCAACTAGGTAGCTCTTGTCCCTCAGTAAGGATGAATTCTGGACTGCCTAGGTCTTACTCAGCCTCCCCTGCCTTTGGCATGGGCCAGCTTTCTATGCCAAGTGCCTTTGCTCATGGCAGGGGGCGGGGAGGGGAGGGAGTAAAACATGTTTTCCCATCTGCCGTTTTTAAAATAGACTTTAATTGCACAATGCCTGATGCCCAGGCCTGCAGCTCAGGTGCACGTTCCCCATTTATACCCTCCCAGCCCAGATGCGGCAGCCCTCGCCCTTTAAATGCAGGCTTGCCGGGTGCGTACCAGCCTGTGGTTTGTCTGTGCTGTATTTCGAAGCCTGCGTCACTGGCTAAGGGTGGGGCAGTTCCTAAATGTGACAAGGACAGGACGCTGCGTGCTTCTCCCAAACGGCTCCTGGTAGCAGGCAGGTGCCTCCGACTCCGCGGGTGCCAGGCTGTGGTGGGATTCACTCTAAGCGCGTATTGCAGTTCCTTGTGCGCTCACCCGGCAGCTTCCCCCTGTGTCCTTCCATGTGTCTTCAGTGATCACGACCGACAGCCAGTCTTCCCAGAACCTTGCCCGTTAAGCCTTTGACTTGAAACTCCTGCCTTTGTTTGGCACATCCTCATATTTCCCCTCTTCGCAGCAGGAAACAGCTTTGTCTCCACCTTTCTCTTCCTCCGGCTAGGAACAGATGTTGCATTTGTCCCTGGACAAGTTGTGCTTGTATTTGTTCTGGAGCAGAAGTGTCCCTGGATTGGCATGTCCATCCAGCACCCTGCTAGTAGGGGTTTAGCGAGCAGCTAAATGCACCGCCACTTTTCTGCTGCCGATTCAGTGATGCAGTCCCAGGATAATTGTTGAGATGCACTTTGCAATGTCCCGGGATAAACTGTTAGCACTCCTCATCCCATGACCCTTTTTAGGATTCATTCCGGAACAATGGACAGGGATATCTGTCTGAACGACTGCACTTTGATATGATGATATGGTTTATCCAGGGACAAATGCGATGTCTCTTTTACTTGAGCATCCTAAGGCAAAAGGAAATCAGTCTGTGCTCCCAGATACGATGGGTGTATGTTGCCCCCAGAACAAAGGTCCTGGATGCTCTTTTAAGTATAATACAGAAACCAGCCTTAAGACACAAGCAGCACTAGGGTTGCCAACTCTGTTTGAACCTATTCTGGGAGGTTTCATTACATGATGTCATGACATTAATGAGTCATTACATCAGGAAGGCAAATGCACGTTACCATTTCATTTTAAAAGCCCGCTGAGCTACTGTATAAATTGGATTCAACATTTAATATTTATTTTAATAAATGCCCGATCATGTCTCTCCTGGGTGACTCTCAGCAATCTCTTGGAGATGTATAACCAATTCCTAGACTCCAGGACAATCTTGAAGGGTTGGCAACCCTAAGCGGCACTCCATCCTGCCTAATGAGTGCTCAATAATTAAATGTATCGTACCAGCCCAGCACAGAAGGAGAAACGGTGGGTTTGATGGGAACTGTAACTTCAAACATCTTGGTGTCGGGCATTTAATGTCTCACCTGGACTGTTAATTAATGCATTTTGGGGAGTTACTGGCTGCAGTGCAATTTTTTTTTTTTTTTTTCCTCTCTCTCTCGTATGCGCACACATGCACACCTAACCAGTTATTCTAGACGGACCAGGCATTAAAGCCTAGTAAATGTTTAATAACACACAGTGGCTTCAGATGGTAGGCCTTGGGTAGGTACAAGCTGACCTATGCGGCTGATTTCCTTTGTTTTGGGTTTTTTTTTTCCCTGCTTGCAATTCGGTTCTGTTTCTCCTTCAGCCCTTCCCAGTCTCCTTCCCCCCCCCCCAGCTCTGATTTTTTCAAAACACCTGGTTATTTTCTTGTTTAGCAAACCTGCTCTGTTAATTTGACAAGAAGGGCTGTTTAACAGCCTTTAAACCTTTAATGAGAAGCCAGAGAGCCAGGCAAGCTGTTTCTGTTTAAAGTAACCAAAGACCCTGGATGCAGGGACTCAACCGTGGCTGCTCAGGAGATGGTTTTGACACTGGTTTGGCAAGTCCCCACCTCTCAGTCCTTGTAGCCGATGCAGCGGAGAGCTGGCTTTTGCATGGAGATCGCTCCCAAAGCATTGTGGAGGAGGTATCGGCCCCTGGCGCCTCCCGCGCCCTTCGTGGTAAGTGAGCCACAGCCTCACGGATATTTGTGTGTGCTTTCAGGAGGAGCATGAAAAGGAAAGCGATGTTCACGTGCCCCTTCAACAGCGACTGCAAGATCACCAAAGACAACCGGCGGCACTGCCAGGCCTGTCGGCTGAAGCGCTGCGTCGACA